TCTTGCTTCAAGACATGCTTAATTGCAGAGATCTAGCCAGCAGGTTTTCTGATCCCTTATCCAGCATCCTGTTTCCTCATTCTGCTCCTGTAGCTGCAGAAGGATGCCTTTGATCACTGGTGACAGGTCTTCCTACAGCTAAAAGGGAAACTGCTGAAAAAAATGGAAGGGAGCAATCCTGGTTGATGATTGCATACAACAAGAAAGTGCTGCATATGAAAGGGAAGGAGACATTTCCTATTAGATTAAAGGAGCTCAAACCTGCTCTCCCTCTAGAGAAGTATGCAACTCTATACTTGCCTCTCTAATTGCAAGCCTCTGCTGGGAAAGGTGCTTAAAAGTATTGCAAAAGGAAAGAGATTAGCCAAGGTCAGGGAATGGCAGGGCTGCAGACCCAGAGGATTGCATAAAGAGGTGCATGGTCCAAGGTGATACCAGAAAAGGTGCTGTCAGCTTGTTCCAAGAGAAAGTAGCAGAGTGCAAACTCAGCTAACCCCCCAGGAACTGGCTGCTGGAGTCAGCCAGGGCAGGAAAACAAAAAAGCAAAAAAATTAACAAAAGGCCACAGTACCAAGCTTCAGGAAAGTGAAAGATCTCTGGCAGAACACCTTGCCCAAGAAAGAGAAATGTGATGGGGAAAGAGAAGCTCATGGCCTGGGCCAGAGCTGATGACCCAGGAGGAAGTGTACACAAGCACATCTGAAAAACATCACAGAGTTCACATAAACACACATGGCAGAGAAACCAAACCAAACCAACATTGAGACAGAGAGGGAGTGACAAGTGGTCTGGCCTGCAGAATACAACCTGGTGGGTGGAAAACCCTTCTTCCAGGAGGACCAGCCTCTCCTTTGAGGCCTTTCTTTCCCAATGGAGAGGGACTTGGCCTGTTTGGGATTCACCTCGAGTGCACAAGCAGCAGGAGTGTTTGCTGAGCCTGAGCTGCTCAGGCAGGCACTCCCCTGCCTGCTGGTGCCCTCTGCGGGCGACTGCTGTGGAGCCTGACAGGCACGGACCGAATCCCTGTGCCAAACCTGGGATCTGCATCCCTCTGCCAAACCACAGACTGCTGCATCCCTGTGCCAAACCTGGGACTGCACCCTTCTGCCGAACC